ATGTTAGCACATGAGACTCGCGAATGACCGCTCCAATCTCGAGTGAAATCAGAAAAGAGAGTAGAAGCGCGTGACCACGTTTGCATTGAGTGAAATTGTGCAAGTGCGCGTCTTTGTGGTTTTGTGTATTCAAACAAAAAACGTTTATGCTATTGGCAAAATACGTAATGTTATAATGCAAGCAAAATAAAGGTACAAAACTCCACAGTGGTTTGCATTGTTCTCATCGGTCACTTGAGACAGTACCGTACCCGCTGATGGGATGCGGACTGATGGTTTCAGCGGGGATAGTAATCAGTCTTATATACCTGTGCCCAAATCTTCATTCGAAAATGTTTGCGACGGAAGTGAATGCGACCCATTCGCAAATGCAGTTATTGAGGGGAATGGGAAATCTGGTGCTTCCCGAAGCAGGTTGATAACACGACTTTGTTGTTCTCCCGGATACTAGAAAATATGTGCGGTTGATTGAAAAGGCTATATGTGTGGCTAAATCGTTTTGGTAAGTACCGGGCCTAGGACACCGTCACACATTGTCTATGGCAACTGCTTGAAATAAACAGAAATGAGTCTTGAACTCATTTTTGGCACGGATTTCCGCGATAAGTTTTTGAATTTTGCCACTTGTGCCAACAATTTCATAATTGTACTTATTACTACTGTTAAAATGCGCTACTCAGACACGCGTTGGCTAGTCAGAGACATGTTTTGGGCATTTTATCCCCCAGTTAGCGAATCAGTTGTAACGGATAAAAGACGGTTGCGTCTTTTGAATTGCCAAGGCGAATAAAATTTGACAAAAATGTTTCACACTGACACTGGTTGTCTTGGAGATAATGGACGCCGTTACCATGCACTTTGCTCCAGCCTCTCCTCCTTCTCCCTCCTCTTACGGATTTCATCGAAAAAGCAATTCAGTCGTGGTTGGTTGAGCGGACACTATGAGGTTGCCTGGTGGTACACAGTACCGTTGACAGCTGTCAGTTAGCCAGTACAAGTAGCTCAGGAGGGTTAGAGTTAAACATCGCACCTAATGCCAGTATATGTATGTAATATTTTTGAAGGTTTGAAAAAAAGCGGCCAAAGCTGCGCTGCCAATTTTATGAGTTTATAATATTTAGCAGACCGGTGCGCAACCCCTATCTGTCTTGCATAGCCATCAACGGTCACAAATGGTAACAACATTGGTGAACATTTGCCGGGTAAAGATATTACTGCAATGTTTCTGAAGGAACAGAACAGGAAGGCTGACGTGATCTAATCTGAATAGGAGATTGTATCAACACTACTGTGTGGTTAGGTTCAGCGATCTGATTGTCATTCATAATGTACTTAAAAATATGTATTATATATTTTGAACACCGTAAAATTAATGCCTCATACCAAGGTGACAGCTCTTATGGTTTTACATATCTGGCGGAACACAAAACGGCTTGGTGTCCATATCTGCCACAACCGGATTTCGCCCCCAAAAGATTCTTGACTCTGAGATTATATTCGTCTTTCACTACTGGCAACACAATTAGTAACAAGTTTCCCATGAACTTGTCCTGCAGGCACTTCCACCTGGGGCACACCTGCTATTGCTCCCCAAGCTTCCCAAAAGTTCGTTGCAAGTGTCCTTAGCTCTGCCATGGCTGAAGGACACCATTTATTTGTGGAGAACCTGAACACCCCAACTACACTGCGACGCCCAAGAATTGATGCACTACACCAAACGATTAGATCGAATTTCCAGATGTACTAGTGCGTAGAATGTCCGAAAACACCCGTGAGAAGACCTTCTTTAAGTGCCAGTGGTGCCGGAAAGGAGTTTATTCTCATCAAGAAGTACGGGGTTATCCGTGTGGTTAGAAATTTGGGTTATAATGCATCGGATTGTGCTATTTCCGGGGTAACTTGGCTGAGTCTGACCGTATCTCATCATCTACAAGCCTTTTCCCAGCTCCTCGTCTAGACTCTGCGTGTTCTAATAGACATGTTGCCCGTATTTTTTGCAATATTCTGCAGATTATTGGCTGCTCAGCTCGAACACAGTTCCTACACATGAATCTTAGGACAACTGATAGTGCACGGAAGCATCATATACAGATATGGATTAAACTCCAATGTTATCCACCTTGGTTTGTGTAGAAAAATCCGACCAGACGAGGGATAAGTTCCTGAAACTCCATGGCATCCTTTTGATCAAATGTAAGCTTACTATTGATTTCAGCTGCTTGATGTCCACAACCATCTGCTCAAGTTTGCAAGTTCCGGGATAGCAATTTTCGACAAGAGGGATGTCAATATAATATCTGTGACCTGCTTTGCGTGTGCTCCGTTCAAGGTTTCGGATACTCTACTCCGTGAGTGAATAATGTAGCCATTTTTCCAACTATGGTTTACTCCACGTGTCACAGTTGATGCTGGAACTGTAAGTTGTAATCTGAGCGGTATACAATCAGCCCAGAAAGTTGCCTACTTGCTATAAGATCAAACTCAGTCCCATCAGATCTCTAACGAAAGATTAAGGAAAACGATTGTATGCGAAGCCTAAGCGCTTTTACAATAACAAAACAAAGAACTTGCATAACTGAACAGCGAACAATTATACAAGACGTAATTAGACTGCTGACAACTTCCCAGAACTAGCCCAATGTCAACGTTCCGAGTGTGCCGATAGTGAAACCTTTCCAGTTTAAAAGAAACAGGCATGCACATTTGGGGAGAGCCGTTTCACTGACGTTCTAATAAGGGAATGTGGTACATTGTCAACAACCATGAATGAGATAACCGAACTTGTAGGAGTTTATGAAAACAGACAGGACATGGTGTTCGCAATGTCAACCAAACAAGGGATAGTCAGTCGACGTAACGAAATTAATGAACCAAAATTAGATAAGTCGTAAGGTGACACTTAGAATACGCCGGAAGACTGGTTAGATGCAAACCAGGACCGGTGAACATACAATCTAATAATGATCCTTTGAAAACAGTTCACGGAAGGTTAGACAAGCGGTAGCCATGAGTAGAGCAGGTAGATTGACGTTTGTCTTACCACAATTGGAGTGTTGCGCCAACTTCTGGAACCGTAAAACTATCATTGTAACCACCTCAGACGCATGTCTGGTAGCTGTTTTACTAGTAGGTGGGGGAATTGCTGCCAGATCTTGTGAGCGCAATCAACCTTTATTTATTCAGTTTGTCTGCAACAGAAGAAAAGTTAGAACTACAGACAATGTGTTGCGAGTTCGGAAATATCTTAAAGCACACGTTTGCGGTGGTTATCCATGGGTCTGGCGACGTTTGGCTTGGCTGTAAAGAAGTGAACTCATAAGCATGCAGTGGATTTGCCTTGTAGGTTTTCATGAACTGCTGTTCTGTGTCAGCCAAGTACAACTATTCTGGATCCTCCTTCTGAAGACTTGAGTCATAGTTTCTACCACCAATAGTTAACACTGGTATTGCTAAAGATGATTATGACTAGGTCTTGGCACTGCATGCTCAGCTGTTATTCCCGGATGCTCTGTCTGAGTGACATCACCTACAGAGGCGACGCACCACTCGCAGTCTGTAGTTAAGCCAGGTATATAATAATTCACCTGAATGCCACCTGCATTTAATTCCAGATTGCTTGAACTTTGTCTGATATATGCCTAACCTCCATTATCACTTCATCCAACATGAGCTCCATTCTGGACGTCATTTCTTTCAGATCCCACCAACTGCTTGACGCATCTGGTAGACCTGGTAAAAACTGCCGTTGACGTCTCTTATGCATACTTTGCAAGTCCAGATTGCTTCCTTGCATTCATTGGCTCTGTGTGCCCTACACAATAAAAAATTTCACTCTTTTATGAGGGAGGGAGCCCAACTGGCTGTTAAAGTTGAGTGATTCTACCACGACATCGATTACTTTATTCTAATACTCAGATTGTTTACGTTAATCCAACCTCAGGTGCCGACCCTAATCCAGTCGCGCGGACCATAATGGACAGAATGATGACTCGACAATCGGCGGCGGCCATTAAACTGTCGGACATCCACGGCATCTAATTCATAAGCAATCTTATAACTATGGGACAGTCACATGTAACACAGTCACCATGTAGGTTGCGTTTTAATTAAGTTTTCAGTTGCTGGCATAAATTCGACCGATGTCAGATCTAGGCGCCTATGGCTGTGCGCAGTCAGAAAGACCCAGTGAAAACAAATTGTTCTCGCGGTGCTGATAAACACTTCCGGAATATCGAAAACGAGGGCTACGAAGGAGTCAGGAGTCACGAGGGCTAGGATACTGTCAGGTTGTCCGAGCCTAGACAGGGGGAGTCGAGAGGCAGAGGTCGAGTTCGAACCACGGACCTTCCGGTCAGTAAATTCGCGCTCTAGCCACTTGGTCCGTCTCGCCCAGAAGGAGGGCCACTGTTGTGATTCACTTGAGTCTCCCATTAAAACCACAATAGTGTGCGAAAAGCATGTTTTATCCCAACAACAAGACACAATTTTGCAGCCCCATGCTTCTACCGAATAGTTCTTTTCGTACGAATTAGGATATAGTAAGACTGAAAGTTTCATGGGAAACCGGAAAACACCCATTCCAAAAGGAACCTTTTCCAGGGTTGTTTTTGGAAGTACTACGCAACCACGGTTCATAATAGTGTTTTAGATGCGTATCCATAATTCAGTTAAATATTTTTCAAACAGCCCCCTTCTTATTACTCTTACACAGAAGCAACAACACAGAGCTCTTTTTTGTGAAGAACGAAGTAAAGTCTTGGCTCGTCCACGTTTTTATTTAGCAAGTCAGACCACCTTTTTCCCATCAAGGCAGTCTCTCTCAGCAGGACAAAGCATTTTGAAGCACAGGTTTCTCACAAGTTCCAGATCACTCGCCTAGCCTAATGGTTGCCAGCAGCTATTTAGTTGCTGAGTCCACAAACGTCCAGTGAAAGAGCGTAACTTCACGTTATACTTGATCACCTAGGTGTACTGAAATCGTGATCGTTAAAATAACACAGAACGAGTTTGGCATGTACACACTTGTCTCGACGTCATTCGTTCGGCTGACTGTTGTACACAGCTTCATTTCAAGTGCAAAAGTATGCTGGGAAATGCTGTAGTCTGTATGTATGTGCTTTCCTCTCTCTCCCCGATTAGACCAGACGACCGCTGTCTACGTCACTAAACCGAATCACCGTATTGGAAAGCTTTAGTCTGTTTGCGGCAAACGGCATGGTTAAAGAAGTTTGTACAAACCGGTCGCCTTACGCTCACTGAACCCACTGAGTAGGTAAATCACTGCACTGGGAAAACAACTATTTCGACTGTAAATTCATGAACACAGAAAGATAGTTGTAGTGGAGCGGTAATTGTAACTTCTCTGTACGTCTTTCCCTCCTATAAAGTTCGACCTCCCCAATCCAGCCCCTAATTGAGTTGTATTATTACACTGTTGTGGGTTATTTCGGTGAAATAGGAAACACGGTACGCTTTATGCTTGTACCAATAATAGTACTAATAATTGCGGCTTCAAGGTATCTCACCCACTAAAGTTAACTGACCGATGTGAAGTATCGGGCAACTCATCGGTGAATAACTGCCAGTAACACTGCAAACACTACTACAAATACTACTGATTTGTCATAAGGTAACATTCAAGTGACGTTGATCTTTTAGAAAAAAACGGATAATTACTGGGCAATGAGCCTCAACCTCAAACGGATACTATGGATACTATGGTCGGACTGCGGGAAGCTGAGTCGTATAAGTGCCAGCTGGTTCAGTGGCTTTGCATTTATATGAGCCTTCAAATCGACCGATATACTCACAACTAAAACATTCTGCCCAATTCTCAACATCCAAATGTTTATCTGACTAAGGCAAAAGGGAGTAAACAAGGGATCCCGCCTACTTCCAACTTATCAAGTGTTCAGAATTTTGAATGGTCGCGCGTCAGTAGCCTGGAACCGTTAACCAAGAAGAGATTGGACCATTTCGCTTCCGACAACCTGATAAGTTTTATCAAGGACAAAAGTGCTTGTGTAACCGAACCTTTGGAGACTCAGCTGACTTTAAGACATGTGTAGGATGGTCTTTGAAGTTTTCCAACGTGAAGCCCATCCGGTTCTGTGATGCCGCCGACTATTGCGGACGGATAACACATTAACTCGAACTGATAATTACCCGTAACTATATCTGCTAAAATTCCTCAATCTGTGCCAATTTTCTAAACCCAGTTGAATATCTAATGCAATTTGTAAACGAATTTTTTTCCACTGACCGAAAATAATCTGGAGAAATCAAAAATAGCTCTATCTGGATCACGGAAACTAATCAGAAAATTCTCAGAACTTCGGAAGAAGGTTCTGTCAAACTAATCTGTTAATACGTACCGTGGTGTTTCAGGGCTTAGATAAGGCATTACTCGAAGCCAATTACCTTCAAAGGCGAATTCCAGCCTACTTTCTGTACCACAGTTAACGGAGATTTTTACTGGCCGGCTGTTAGATCGATGAAAATCAGTCGAGGTTTTTTTTTTACCTGGTGTCACCTTTGAATATCGTTGACCGCTTAAAACAGAAAGGCCAACATTGTCGTTTTTAAGATCTTGACATATCCGGGTAAATATTTCGAATAACTTGTGTATTTAAACGTGATTAAAGTTTAAAGTGAATCAAAGTACTGGAATTTACTTCATGCGCCATCGAAGCAATTCCTGACAGTAAGTGATGCACTGTTTGAGCCTGAACAAAACGCTTCTGACAGCATCAGATGAAGGCGCATGAAAGAATCGACACGGCCTAGGCAGTGCCTAAATAGTGAAAACAAGTCACCCTCGGTAGACCGACTCGTATTTGGTGGACGGCTGTAAATGCAGTCTTACGGCAGATCGCGTGGTCCGTGTCGACTATGGAAGTGCGGTCACAGAGCTCATAATCGGCTTCGCTGCTCGGCTTCTTGGCCCAGAAGACATATACATTTGTCCAACTGCCTTATTATTCATTAGCAGAAGATGAGCGAACAATTCACATCACTTTTGGTGTGGACTAGCGATTCGTATTTAAGACGAACCAGCATTAATATGACTGTGGTAGAGCAGGATCTGTGTCTGTATGTATGCCCCTTGTGAGCAGTAACTTGGCGCTCTCTAAATGAGACAGTGATGTATGAAGGTTTTGTCTTCACCATTACTAGCTGGTAACCCAAAGGCCTGGTCCTCGTTTCTGTCTGAATTGATCGCTTGTGGCTTCTCAACCGACCCAAAGACACGTCAACGAGCAACCGTGGCTGGTGTAGTTTTTCATCAAACTTAAATTACAATCTAGAAATTTCCCCATGTTATCATTTGGAGAAAAGCACATCGGTGTTGTCACTATTGACCTGAAATATAGTCGAGCAGTGATACCTTTCGAGGTATCATTAATTTCCCGTTAAATTTCTGGTCAGTTGCTGTTTTTACTACTGCGTTTATGTTAAGTAGAATCGGGATACAGTTTTTTTCACATACTGGCTTGACTATTCGAGATCATTCGGATCAACATTATTGAGTGAGTGAGCATCACGTGACTCTATTACATCGGAATCTTTCGTATTTTCAAAATGATACATCAGTAGTTTTTTGGTGTGAGCATTTTTTGTCCAGGTTAGAATTCATCGCTCAAGATTACATGGTGAGGTTAATTTAGTCCGAACGATAAACTCACTGTTGATCGCCTCCTCGTTTTAGTCACCAAGATAGTAGTCCAAAGCAGCCAGTGATTTTACAGACAAATTGTTTCAATACGGATTGACCCAGAACCTGTATCGATTATCCAGTAGATCCATTACTCCACCAGTTGATCACATCTTCATACGGTTTACCGAATACTTGCGTCAGAACAGGAGGAGGACCGTCCGAAATACCAAGTTTAATTAGCTTAATAACAAAGTTCAAACTCAGGCTTCGGCGTTCACAAACATGGGCTTGTCGGATAGGTGTGGAGTGTAGTGTGGACTGGTACTGTGAGAAAACTTGGCGGTCTATAAGCAGCTCAAGGGAGATCTAAACTTCACAAGCTGGGTGAAGCTTGCTTTTGAGAGTTCGCCAGCAAAAGAACCAGCCAACTCGTGAAACCACCTGATGTGGATCCTGTGGTTCAAGGATGAGCCCCGGTATATCCTAGCGGCTTGTGGCCAAATGGTTGGATTTCCAAACTGCAGGTGGGGAGGCGCGGTTTCGAGATTGCCTGAAGTTTTGTTAGATGTGCACTGCTGATGATTCCCAATAAGAATAACTGTGAAGAGTTTCTCGGATTTCTGGCATAGACTGGCTTCACTCACGGAATAAATTCCCAACTGAAACATCGATCACCTACAGGATGACCCTAGAGCACAGGGTGTTATTCACTATACACGCTGTTTATGCTCTCATTACTCTGAGGAAATTTATCGAGTGCTTGTTTAAATAGACAGCTGTTGTTTTGGTTTGCATGTACCTTGTTTAACTAACGGCTTTTTACCGGTGAGCTCTTTGGCAGTACCGACTTCAATCGATTGGCATTGCATGTAACTTGTTTAACTAACGGCTTTTTACCGGTATTACATGGTGAGCTCTTTTGGCAGTACCGACTTCAATCGATTGGCATAAGCCTACGGTAAGGTTTGCCAACAACGTAAAAATCATCAAAGACGCAAAGATAATAGTGTGTGCCAAAACCAGAAGCATTTGACTAAGGAAACTGAGTAACTGAATCTTTATGCATTAATTTTCGGAGGCCCCAGTCGGGTTGTAACACGTTCCAGTTTGCCCAAGGCTCCGGAACGGGCGTCTTTCCGCTTTACATTAGCGTGTGATGTAGAACCAGTCTTGGTGTTGAACGGAACAATCGAACAAATTCTATCAGTTGTGAGTACCAATGGGTTCATCAAAGTTCAGGCCAGAAACACAATCTATGACTTTTCACTCTCCACTCATTTAAGGTCGTCTATATGAAACCTCTTCTTCGGAGAATTCAAAGTTGCCAGATTTTAGAATATTGTAACTGAACAAAACAAAACGAGGATTTCGATTGCGTCAATAAATCATCTACTGAATTAGCTTCTCCTGGGGCCCAGAAGCTTGACTATTGGTCCGCGCATGAGATGAACGGACGTACTGTGTGAAGAAACAGAGCATAGTCTTGCACTGTCATTTGTAACCATACTTTACGCTCTTTTGACTTTCATGATTGGTTTATGTTACCTCACAGTTGGTACCCGGAGAACTTCAAGTGCACCGGATTGTCTGTTGCCGATCTATCATTCAGGTCCGTCCTGTTGCATCTGGATTCAAACTATACCGTTAGAAGATGGTCAGAACCAATGAGGGTCAGGTAAATAGGCACGAAGTGGAGGACATCATAAACGAGAGATTCAATTGAGTCTCTCGTGAAAACCAAATTGATTTGCAAATGAGTGTATTTCTCGAGGCACGAAGTGCGTTTACACATCGAATTGTGGAGAAAGGTGGACAATGAAGCACACAGCGACCTACATTTTTGATGAATAGCATGTAGAAGATATCAAAATTAAACAATTAAACATCAAGCCACAACCAAATTTAATGGAAAAGTGCCATAGGATGAATATATTTCATCGACGAGATGACAGAAAAGAGGTTCATACTCAAGCACGCTGAGTGAAGATTTACTTTCCTTGCGAAAAAAATCCGTTCCAGAATCTTTATTAAATCTTCGTCTAGTTGGGAGTCCAGTCAAACCAAAGAGGCAGGTCGGTGTAGAGAAAGTCCATCTGGGAGAACAAACCTGTGAAACGGAGTGAGGCAAGATAAATCACGGTTGAAGGTATCCTTTATATCAGCATTACCCACTATCACCACCATTGTGCGTCCCCCAGGTGAGAAACGATAGAGAGAATCCGAGCAACGGAGGAGCAGTAATGAACAATAGAGACATATTCATTTTTCGCTGGTACACATCATCAACTGGCTTGGTTGTTCTTTTTGTTCAAGTGCAGTTCTGGGACATCACGCACAGATCATCCGGTTAGTCGTACCCGCAGTATCATGCCAAGCCCCTGGCACCATTGCTTCTCACTGTTCCCAAGTGTGTTCAGCTGAATTAGGATGATCCAAGCCCGTTCACTGTCAACGGAAGTGCCAATTTGATAGTGTGTATTCGAATGTAGAGTGCATCCAACCATCAGGATATCATGCATCACTTTAATGGGTGAACTTGCCTGCTGTGCTTATCCACCGGGGGGTATTCATCGGAAGGCCTCTATGATTGCACTATATCCTAGTACAGTCAACAACAGACGGTTGGGCTGTAGAAATAAACATCTTATGTCTAATTCAAATTTCGAGGTGATCCAAACATTGCTACATTACATCCGCAACAATATGCCCATTTTACTCAACGTAATCCCTCAGAATTCTGGAATAGTCTCCTCATTTCCAAAAACTGGGATCTCGGAATTTGATCGGTGGTCTTCAGCGTGGTATTTTATGTTGACATCCATCCCGAATTTCATTTATTAACTTTCTGTATCCATTATTTCACCCCTTAATGAATAGAAAGATGAGAGGGAAGATAGTTAGCCTCAGCTAAGGTGTGGTATCTGTTGGAGATATTTCAAAATAACTGTGCCAAATGGGGAACACTGTTGGATGCACTTAAACGAAGAGACCTCTCTTCAAATATTTTTCGTTTAAAGATTACTGAGGTGACGAGACCCAAGTAAATACACTTTGTTTTGCCCGTCGTTAAACGCTGTTGGATGCACTTAAACGAAGAGGTCTCTCTTCAAATGTTTTTCCTTTAAAGATTACTGAGGTGACGGGACCTAAGTAAATACACTTTGTTTTGCCCGTCTTTGTTTCACCATCCTCGTTAAGTGTGCTGAAAGGTGAGTTAAGGTGGCGGCCAGCCTAATGGTTTGAAAGTCAATGTATCATACATACCTGAAGGAAAAGTGCCAATAGATTAGAATAAATACTGAGGGTGACACCCAGACGTTGCCAAATGCAGACTGCGGGCCTGAAATCATCAATCAGTGGCGCCACCAAGGACTTCTTTCATATGATCAAAGGTAGGGTGTGAGTAGTACGTCCTACATCACCTAGCTGCCCGTCGATCTATTACTTGACCCTGGATACGAACATAGTTGATCTCGTCTTCCAGTTACGCGACTTTAGATGATGTTTCACCTTCCAGTTCTACTGATATATGTATCACCGCAACCACGGTGGGACCATAAAGATTATCAACTGAATGCTCTTCGGGGAGTAGTAAGTGATAGCACATTTAAGACTCCCTCATTAGGTGTCCATCATACAGGCTCAGGTGTAAAAGTCGGTGGCAAGAACGGATACTCAGCGCTATGGACCACTATGCATGAGTGTGGTGTGCATGTACCAAATTGGTGAGCAAGTACGTCATTGACCGTGAACTTATTAGGCTCAGTCCAACAACACTCCTGGACTGTTAAGGAAACCAAATCCTTCGATATGTAATGATCAACCGTTAGAAAACCAAAAAGTCAACATCACAATCGATGGCAGGTGCGGTTGAGATGATGGGTTGAGATCAGCACCATACTTCTTCTTCTTCTCACTTCACATAGTCACTTCGAGCCCATCCGAGACTATTCTTGCGTCCATTGTAGTTTCTCAATGCTCACTAACAGAGATTACATCAGACTTGATTAAGGACGTCGACGAAGACAGACATCTTCGAAGACAGTGTGTCCAAGGCTACGGCGACGTTTCGCGAGTTCTCTTGCGTCCTGATTATCACGAGCACATCTAGCACTATGAGTGATCCAGTAAGACTGTAAAATATGTAGCAAACTTTTCGGTTGCCCACAGTTTTCACGACAGAATATTGTATAACCACCATGACAATGCTGGGCGATTGTAACTCGTCTTAATTAGTTTGCACCGGAGCTAGATACCGTGGATAAATATCCAGTAAATCACATGTTATGGAAGCACAAGTCATCGGTTCGAGAGAGGAGCAGCCACCAACATTCATAACCCCCGATCGTCAATGGTGTTGGGTAGACTACCAACCACATCAACAGCCATTCGTTCCTTGGTGTTCGCGCGTGCACATTAGACTCGGATCAAACGGCTGAGGCCCTAAACAACCTTTTCGGATGTAGGATCATTAGCTGTATTGCACAGAATTCCAAACTATGTAAACAGCATGCTTTCTGTATGCTCTTTCTACTGTATCGGGACGGTTGAACTCAGGGTTAAGTTGTCGGGTCTCTCATGTTTATCGCCAGCCCAAATATAGCTGACTGGTGCATCCTTCGGTGGGAGTAGCCAGCCACGCATAGATTGCCTGATGTAGTTGTTCAACCTTTCGTGAGTGGTTCGGTGGACTTGGCTGAGCCTCGGTACCACGTAGTTCCTTGTGATCTCCATTCGTTGGTGTGGCTTCAACGGGGTACTCGTCAGCTCACTGAGCTGTTATGGCAGCTGTTTTCAGTGGGTGTGCACTACTTTCCATCTGAAAGTAAAGGAGATGAGACGACAGTGTCTATCGGACCAAGAGAATTGCTAAGTTACTTGGCGAAGCAAAAGGCTCGACTGAGACAGCGGTGTTCTGATCTTTTTTGTCCCCACAAATCACCACTGATCTCGTCTTCCGGGCCGTACTAGCTCTTCCCCGATTGACCGCAACAGCTTAAAGCTTCCATTTAAGGCGATTCTGCACACACGACACAGTTTTCAGCGAAGGCAAAACCATCCACCAAGGCGTGATAGAACTGGTGTCCTAGCTGCGGCACTGACAACCCAAGAACCTCATCCAGTACCACGTTGATCAATATTTGAGAGGATGGATCCCCCTACCTTACACTCTGAGACAATGAACCTCCGAAAGTAAGGAAAGTGCTACAGTATTCTCACAGGACTGATTGATGCACCATCAATAGGTGTGATAGTACTCCAGACGCCTCACCAGATCTCACAAGTGTGTCATGCGAAACCGAATTGAACGCCTTCGGTGCATCAACAAACGCCGAACTGCTGTTAGAAGCAGTTGTCGAAGAATAAAAAAATATAGCGTGTAACAGCAACATAGAAATGCAAACTGGAATGAAAGTAGTTGCAATTTACCGCTCCAGTTTTCAGCGAGCACTTGATGAAAGCATTGAACAAGGATGAGTAACACGGAAATCTATCTTGGTTAGTTCGGTCAAGTCTGATTTACACAAGTGCTGAAGCAAATGTGCGGCCGGTAGCAGCTTCATCCATAAATCGTCATTTGCTTGAAAGTGGGTATTTTGTCTATTCGGAAGCTGCGTTCCACTTTGTGTACAAGACCACGATTGACAAGATGCTATCGACCTATTGTTATAGGAAGGTAGAATCCAGAACTGTGTAAAAAGAAGCCGAGCATGTTGTTAGGATTTCCTTGGGCAATAATTTTCTCCCCAGCTCCCGATAGTTGAGAACCTTGTTCTGTTTTATTTATTTGTTGATATTGTTCTGTAGTACACACCAAATGAGATACAGCGAACTAGACCCAGTGTTTCGCGCAACAGCTAAGTTCCCTCGGAAAGAAGTAATTTGAGCATCGTAGATGTCTTGCTCCTACTTAACCGATCGACTAAGCGGGGAGATTCATCAAGAGATTGCCAGCACACAGTGCGTTGTCTGGGATATTCACGGTTTTGAAACCACCCTGCATTACGAATATACACTGTTCCAGCTGAGTCTCTCGAAAAAAACCAAATTAGTTTGCAAGTGAGTGTGTATTCGCTAACTTCGTGTAATTTGGTTCCAAGTAGAACATAAGGTTGACGAAAAACCGGGGACTGCGCCTACCTGATGAGCCCCATAAAGGGTGAAACCGGTCGTGGGCTGTCGACGGATTTTCAGCAACCTTATGAGTAGTACATTACAAATATGCACTGTTCCCTCTTCAACGAAAGACAACGCATCCATTGAAGTGATTAGTTCGTCTAGTAGGAGTTGCTCCTAGATGAGCGTGGTTAATGCGGTCAGCATTTATTCATTCGTAAAAGCAACTAGCTAACCGCGTGCCAGAAACTCTAGCCCAAACCATCACCAGCGTCTTGCGGTTCGGTCACTTTTAGATTTGCGTGTCACCCAATGCAAACAGTTGGTGTTCTTCTGATGCGACAAAACATCAACTTGGTGGCATCTTCCGAAGTCTCCACTTTGTTCACGATCCTTTGTGAGAAGCGGGTTACGAGAGTGTATGCCAGCTCCGCTTACTTGCTTCATTTGTTTTGCTCAACAATAGTTAAAACTGTGCATCCTTCGTAGCGTTCTGGTTGACGAGAATAGAAGATGGCGTTAGCCTGCCAGTCGTCATATACTTTGGACGCTGTAAGAAGTATGAACCAATGAATCCGGCAGCATATTCGGCGACAAGGCTGGTTCCAATTCCAAGCGGGTCCTTGCTGCAAAATTTACCGAAAGGCATCCGAACCTTTTTGTGTACACCAGGCACCAATCAACAGTAAGCAGTTTTTTTACCTTAGTGGTATTTCGGTTGCTTACGTCATAACGTCCTAGGGGTATGAGACTGTCCTAGAAACTTAACCGAATCACAGAAGTAGTGTTTGGAGCCCGACCAACAGATATCGTTCGGCGACAAAGCACCTTATCCCCGAGACATGACAGCCGATTAAATGATGCCGCTACGTGTTGCTTTATGTATGTCGGTGAAGAGGGGTTGCGCGGTAGGTGACATCCTATTAGCAGGCGAATATAGTTCCTATGGCAGGTAAGCTATTGGAAGGTGCCATGAACTGCTGTTGTTAAAGTTTGTGGTAATACGCCAATGGACTGTGCAACGTTCCATCACAGCAGGTACCTGGGGGGACTTCCCAGCACCCATCTTGAAGTCCATCCTGTACTATCAGGAAAATCGTGGTGATCCTGATATGGTTCACCTAGACAAAACCATGTGATGCGATACACTTTCTGTTCTCATCCCTAGTTGAGCTGGCAGCGACTCATTGTTCAACATGATTTCGCCGCTTACCTTCATGAGAAAAGTGATCAGCGCTATGCCATGCATCGGACGAATGTCAATTACAATTAAACGCCTCATGTTGGGAAACGATACCATGTAAGAACGATGGCTTGATGGCCACCCCATCTTCCATGGTTCACTGGAAGTCGCCCGTCTGAACGCTGCCCCGTTCTATGCGACCTACTGTTCAAAGCCTGTATACCAAGTAGCCGTCATCCACGCCAGTATGTCAAAGGCCTGTGGGAGACGAGTATACGATTCCGGTACACAGAGGGTGTACCCAATTACTTTTGGTTTGTCCGATGAAATGTCAATAAAATTAAACGAATATCACCAGATGTATCCACATTACTAAAGGAAGCTTACAATTCGACTTACCTGGTACAATGGATGATGCAGATTTGTACACGTGGCAATGTCCTCTATCCTCTTGGTTTGTTCTTCTCAAGTACTGCATTCGGACCCTTCTAAATAAACAGTGATCGCGTGCGAAGTTGTTACTGTTTCTTCTGCATACAGAAAACGGTTGCGTTGTTGCGTTCCCTACATGATCAGATGCTGCTTATATGATGAATTACTTCTCTTTTTTAATAAGTCGATCGTTCTGTTGCAGTTGGTCCATTTGTTGCAATGAATCTGTTATCATGCGTTCAGTCAGTTCTGGCGCTACTGTATCAACCCATCATCTGGAAAGGTCCTAACCCTCAGATCATAAGTGATCCCTTCATCATCAGCAAATCCAATCTGCCTACCCGGACTGACAGGACACTCATTGCGAGCTTCCTTCAACAATGTGGACGCATTCAGTGATCCGCGTCCACTTTGTTTGCATTTCAGCAGTCTGACTAATGCGAAGATGTCACAACTTTTGGGATATGTAGGAAATTGGATTACCTCTCTGACCGCTTCCAAACTATTTCTGCCGTATCGAAGTCTCACTGGTTACGGACGAAAGCGCAGTGGTACAGTCTCGTTCATTTGCTTGGTCAGGTTACTCACGGATGAGTCCACAAGCCTATTGGATACCATGGATGTCCTTCTTCTCCAATTAGATATAGCTTGATATGTGCTCTCTAACTGGTCGCTTCACTTATCGTTGCACACTGTGGATTTGTCAGATCGCCATGTATTCAGTTGCCATACAGTTGACCTTTTCCTTCCTTCAAGGATTCCAGATGATAGCAAAACCCCAAGTTGTCTCATGTGACAAGGCCTGACTTGACATGCAACTGACCAAATGTATTTCCAAGTGACTGCCGGAATCTGCAACTCACTCCACATGCATA